CCCCCTCCCCATCCCCCCCCCAGCGCTTTCCTGCCAATCCTCTCCTTCGCCCGGGGGCGAAGAGAGCGGCAGCTCGACAGATTTCCAGCCAACGCATCTTCACCGCCGGGTGCATGCATACTGCTGTGCCACTGGAAAGCGCAACAAGCGGAAGGAGGTCGTATCCTTGAAAGCGTTTCGCGTTTTTCGTCACAAGACCAGAAGAATCCCATCAGAAACGGCAAGAGCGAGCTACATTCGCACCTGTTCGTCCATGGCGGCCCTGAGCTGCGCGTGGAGAGACTCTGCGGCCTCCCTCAGCTCCCGCTCCTGCAGGAGGGCCTCCCTGCCCTTGGCGATGCCCGTCAAGTACTGCGGGTGCCCCGGTAGCCCTCCCTCCGCCTGCGACGCGGATCGTCGATCGAGGACACGGCACCGCATCAACGGGATTAGCGAGAGACACCACATGCCAGTGTTATTCATGCTGTTCGTGTGCACAAAAAGAACAAAAATAATTATCCTGAATGTACTGCTGCAGAAAACAGGAACGGGAGATGCCCGCATGCCGGTGAATGATGCGCACACGATTGCATCCACGTGTGCGACAAGAAAGATCATGCGCCACAAGTGTTTTTGCTACTGCCGCAGCATATCAGAGGCAGCAGCGGCGCGGGCATGTTGCTCCCATGTCAAAATCGTGTTTCATCAGCAGCGGACTTGAGCAATAGTGGGGGGGGGGGGNGGGGAGGCGACTGCCCAATCCACGACACCCTGCCCAGGAATCGAGTAAGTCTCACGTCTCACGCTGGAAAGTGAGAATGGAGAAGGTTTAGAGTACCGAAATCTGCGTAAGTGCCCCCACCGCAAAAAAAGAAAAGATCCAGAAGGTGGTAAAATCGTTTTCGTTTTGAGTTGCTTCCAGGCTTAGCGCAATGTACCGATTTCACCACGTTTGCACGTTTGGGGAGCCCCGGCCCGGCCAGGCTCCATCAGACCGTGATAAGGTAGCATACGTCCACAACACGCAAGACGGGCGAAATGTATGGTCGGGAAAGTACTCCACCAATAGAAGCCTCATTTGCCCCCAATGCACCCTGCAAAATATATTAGACACTAGTCTAACCCCGCTGACGACGTTGGCAAATTGTCAAATTATCCCCGCTCAACACGGAATCCCCCCCCCCCCCCCCC